GCACTATTATACTATGTATATTGGCTTGGAAGGTATCCCTGGCCAAAAGCACTCTCCCAGGATTTCAGAAAAACAATGTAAAATTGTAGAAATGAAAAAAAAGTGCTATGGTTGCCCCTTCTTTTCAGTCTGTTTCGGGTAACTGAGTTTTAGACTTGAGAACGTAATGACTGGAATCATCATATGTGGACAAACCATCAATTGTATTCAGCACATGGCTGTGCTTTAGTTTGCAGAGTCCCCGGGTGCCTGGTTGTGTTTGTGTCACTGCCCACTGCTCAGCCTGAAGCTGAGCAATGTAAGACAGAAACCATTTCCATGCTGTTCAAAGGCATTTGAAAAAGTACGTCCGCTCAGAAAGGCACACGGGCAGTCTCTCCTGTTCAGAAAACTTGTGTTATGTTGGGGGCATGAGGGGTGAAGAGAGAGTTGTGCATACATGTGCCCTTGCCTGTACATGAATGTGTTAAACCAGTGTTTCTCAGCCTTGGCAGCTTGAAGATGTGTAGACTTCAACATGGCTGTCTGGGGACTTCTGGGGGTTGAAGTCCACACATCTTCAAGCTGCCAAGGTTGAGAAACATTGTATTAAACCATTTGAAGTTATCAGGGCCACAAATATTATCCATTTTTTTATTTAAGGAAGAGCATGTCACTGTCAAGGCACCATGCGTCTCACCCAATGATAAACCTATGAGTCTTAAGTTAGCATGTGCTACTAATGATCTTTTGTTTCAGTCATAGAGTGGATAAAATTTTTAGAATAAAAATGAAAAATGCAGCCTAAAATTGCATAATGATCTTGTTTTTTCCAAGACACTGCTAGTGAGTTTGTAATAAATGTTAAAATCCAGGACTTAAATATGCAACTTTGATTTAGTTCTGGTAGCATTAATTTATAGCCTTCTAAAATCATGATTTAATGGAGTCCTGTCCAATGAAGGCTACAGATAATATATGTGAGAATTATTAATAGATATGAGACATTTCTAGACTTCAAGGTAACATTTTTCTCTCCTGGAAACTTGAAATGCAAATACTGATTTTTTTTTAAAAAAAGATCATATATTTGATGAATGAGCCCTTGAGGAATGAAGGGAAAATAATAATTTTGCATCCAATTTCTTGTGTATCTATCATTTTTAGAACTGGGCAGCCTTGACAATACCACATTTCTCATTAAAACAAACTAAATATCTGTTGGAAGCTCTTAAATGCCTCAGTCATATATTCAGATGACTTAGTTAAGCTGTGTTCTTCTAACAGGTACTTTTAATTGCTGGTCCTTCAATAAAGATACTTATAGAAAGAGTTCAGTGTATACTTAGTGTATACAGTGTAAATTCAGTGTAAGAGTTTGAATAAACAAATATCAGATAGCTTCCTTATCTGTAGGTTTATTAGAAAGAAGGGTAAAAAAGATGTGTTAATGTGCTACAAAAAATAAACTTGTTTAGCATTGTACAAATCAGAGCTGTTTGCATAATTTGTGACCCACCTGCCATGTTTTGTAGTCCTAGGGATCAGTAACACTATACCTGTATTTCACTACAGAAATTCAAAGAAAATGGGGAAATGAAGCATTATTTAAAAAAAAAAAAAAAACTTAGGGAGCAAATTCATAGAAATGTCCTAACCAGGCTTGAATTTCCACTAAAAATCTGACATAATTTCCACAGGTCAGTTACAGTAGCATACGATCATTTGATCCTGCAGTTCCAGTGGCTGGGCCACCTCAAACTGTGTCAAAACTATGGAACAGTACACATCATGTCTTTCCCCATCTACATCCTGGGACTACCTATCAGTTTTATATAAGAGCCAGCACTGTCAAAGGTTTTGGACCAGCTACAGCCATCAATGTAACAACCAATATTTCAGGTAAGAGTGAACATGGAACAGTTGGAAAATTTATCACGTTGAATCTCCTTCTCCTTCTCCTTCTTTCTTCAACTGAAACCACTGTCACTTTCATATAGAGAATACATGGAAAACATGGTGGCAAAAAAGCATGATATAGTAAGTGTGTAAGGATAAATAGGCACCAAGAAAGATGACTGTGTATATTTAAGGATGTACATATTTAAATCAGTGAAGGTTGTAGACTGTTTAAAATTCATACTGAATTATTAAGATTATTATGGAATTTTGCAAACGGCTGCAAAATTCTACTATACAGTTACATGTACTCATTTCTGCTGTGTTATATATTAGAATGCAGCCCAATGTTCTTTTCACTGAAGGAATTCTGGGAACTGGTGCTAAACTCCTGAAAATTGTTTTGGTTTGGTTTGGTTTGGTTAGTTCAGTTTTTAAATAATTTATATGGCCCCCATCTGATGAAGTTGACTCTGGGTTGCATACAAAGATTAAATCCCCCCAAAAACTCACCAGTTCATTAAAATCAATATTAAAAAAAAAACATTCTATGCACAAATGGAATTGATAGTTCTCTAACTATAGAAAATGCATTATTTTAATTATTTTATTTACCTTACCTTACTCTGCTAGCAATCTTTATGAACAGATAAAATAAACTTGTCTTGCATATATAGATTGCCTTCACTTAACTATGGTAATTGGGACCTGCAACTCAATCGCTAAGCAATACAGTTGTAAAGCAAGATGTCACATGACTGCACTGACTTACAACAGCAGTTGCAGCAGTCCCAGTTGCCATCATGAGGCGAATTCTGCTCAGTCGCAGCATCCCGTGGTCACATGATTGCCATTTACAACCTCCTGCTAGCTTCCCCAATGACTTTGCTTGTTGGAAGCCTGAAGTGAAGGTCACAAATGGCGATCATGTGACCACAGGACACTGCGACGTCATAATTATTAGCCAATTACAAAGCACCTGAATTGCAATCACGTGGCCACGGACACACTGTGATGGCCACAACTACAAGGACCCATCATAAATCTCATTCAGCACCATCATAACTTTGAATGGTCACTGAATGAGTAGTTGTTCAACAAGGGCTACCTGCATACAAAATTAATACAAATACTGATGGTTTTACAGTTCATTATTAGTTTAGTGATAGATTCTGGGCCTCTTCTTTGGTGCTACCAAGAGTGACTAGAAGTGAGTATCAGGATAGAGCAAAATGAACATAGTATGCTTATTGTTACATAAGTAGGTGTTTCTCTGGATCTAACTATCTTTATATGTCAGTCACAACCATGATCTGTAGGTAGCATTTCTGAAATTGCCTATAGCTGGTGTTAAACTACAATACAATGATAAATTGTCCCTAAGACATATAGAAGGTAAAAATGTCTAGTCATCTACCTAGCAATTGATGCTCTGTGTTATCAGTAAAATATTAAGGATCACAATGTTCTCCCAGGTTGAGTCCCACACTAGCTACTATACAGGTAGACTTCACTTAACGACTGCCCTGTTTAGAAACCATGAGGTCACAACAGTGCTGAAAAAGTAACTTTACAACCAGTCCTCGCATTTATGACCATTACAGCTTCCCTGCAGTCACATGATCACCATTTGGGTGCTTCGCAACAGGCAGACATTTATGAGTGTCCCACAGTCACATGATTGCTATTTGCACACTTCACAGCTGGCTTCTGACAAGCAGAGTCAACAGAGAAGCCAGCAGTAAAACTGCAAGTTGCGGTCATGAGATGTCTCACTTAATGACCATGGGTGACTTGCTCAACAACCACAGTGGAAGTGAGGTCATAAGCTTGTTGCAGTCACATGACATCTCGCTTAACGACCAGATCACTTAGTGACAGAGTTGTCAGTCCCAAATGTGGTCATTAAGCAAGGACTGGTGTCATTTATTTAAAGATATTTGAGTAATTACTTGATCCAAAGAAGAACATCTAAATTTATAGTACTTAAACTTCCAACAACAATTGTGCTTTTTCTTCTTTCCTTTTATTTTTTTCTAACTTGCTAGTGCATTTTGAAACAATAAAACCATTTTCAGAAACACAAATAGTAGAACATGAGATCTTGAAAATATGAGTTTATCTAACAGTGTCTGTCTGCCAGTGGATAGCTCAAATTTCCCCTTTTGTCATCTGCTGAAACAATATATAGTGAAACCTTAATTTATTGACTTTGATGCAATGGACTTATATGCAACAGACCAAACTGGCTGCATTTTATCTCATCTGCATAATGACTTAATTAACACATTACATAAAATGACATAATTGTGTGATTTGCATTATTTGTGTGATGACATACTCCCCAATTCACTACACTTTTGTGAATAATGGATACCTCCTCCCCCCATTATTCTGTTAAAACAAGATTTCGCAGTACAGTATATGGAACTAAAGACAGCTCAGTGATACAATTTAGGGAAAATAGCTACCAGGATGTGACCTTGCACAGTGGAATATAGACAAAGCTACAGTGGAGTGAGGCAGTGGAAGCAGTGAAGTTAAAATAGAAGACTTATGTAGAACTCCTGCTAGACTCTTAAATACTTACAAACACAATGCGAACCCTGTGCAAATCTACTCTGGAGGGTGAGGGGGAAGTGTGTCCTTCAGAGCATACTGAATGAGTTTCAGGCAGGAAGGGAGCCTGGAACAATGTTTGTATAACTTTGGCCTAGCTAAATGCACGTCTTATGAAGAAGGAACAATGTGATGGGAGGAAGAATATTATGTCTCCCATTTCCCCCTGTGCACACACCTTGTTGTTAGTTTTTAAAATAATATATAATGCCTTATAATCTACAACAAAAGAAAAAAGAAAACAATGACCAAATACAATTAAAAACCAAAGCGCACACACACAAACAGAAAACAACATAAACCAAAAAATAAAGCATTCAGTGAGGAAAAAGGAAGAAAGAACAAAAAATAAAGATAATCATATTAGAGGTATTTTTAAATGTATCAATTGCCATTGAACAGTCTTAGCCCAAAAAGTTTTTGTAGAGCATCAAATGTTTTGCTAAAACTTTCAAAGTCTGGGAGATGGGTGGTTCATATAAGTCAAGGTTCCTCAACCTTGGCAACTTTAAGACGGGTAGACTTCAACCTCCAGAATTCCCCA